TACGGCTCTGGTGCAGGTCCCTGATACACACTCCACTATTTCACAAATGCTACCTTTTGGTTGTGTGCTTTGAATAGCTACCCATTGAATTAGAGCGTGCACTTCTCTAATGGACTATGATCTTAATGTTATCTACAGGTGAAACTCGAAAAATTAGAATATTGTGCAAAAGTTCATTTGTTTCAGTAATGCAACTTAAAAGGTGAAACTAATATATGAGATAGACTCATTACATGCAAAGCAAGATAGTTCAAGCCGTGATTTGTGATAATTGTGATGATTATGGCTTACAGCTCATGAAAACTCCAAATCCACAATCTCAGAAAATTAGAATATTACATGCAATCAATAAAACAAGGATTGTACATAGAACAATATCGGACCTCTGAAAAGTATAAGTATGCATACGTACTCAGTACTTGGTTTGGGCCCCTTTTGCAGCAATTACTGCCTCAATGCAGCGTGGCATGGAAGCTATCAGCCTGTGGCACTGCTGAGGTGTTATGGAAGACCAGGATGCTTCAATAGCGGCCTTCAGCTCTTCTGCATTGTTCGGTCTCATGTCTCTCATCTTTCTCTTGGCAATGCCCCATAGATTCTCTATGGGGTTCAGGTCAGGCGAGTTTGCTGGCCAATCAAGCACAGTAATCCCACGGTCATTGAACCAGGTTTTGGTGCTTTTGGCAGTGTGGGCAGGTGCCAAGTCCTGCTGGAAAATGAAGTCAGCATCCCTATAAAGCTCGTCTGCGGAAGGAAGCATGAAGTGCTCCAAAATCTCCTGGTAGACGGCTGCGTTGACCCTGGACTTAATGAAGCACAGTGGACCAACACCAGCAGATGACATGGCTCCCCAAATCAACACAGACTGTGGAAACTTCACACTGGACTTCAAGCATCTTGCAGTGTGTGCCTCTCCATTCTTCCTCCATACTCTGGGTCCTTGAGTTCCAAATGAGATGCAAAAGTTGCTCTCATCAGAAAAGAGGACTTTGGACCACTGAGCAACAGACCAGGTCTGTTTTTCTTTAGCCCAGGTAAGACGCTTCTGACGTTTTGTTGTTCAGGAGCGGCTTGACAAGAGGAATACGACATTTGAAGCCCATGTCCAGGATCCGTCTGTGTGTGGTGGCTCTTGATGCACTGACTCCAGCCTCAGTTCACTCCTTGTGAAAGTCCCAAACACTTTTGAATGGCCTTTTCCTGACAATCCTCTCCAGGCTGCGGTCATCCCTGCTGCTTGTGCACCTTTTTCTTCCACACTTTTCCCTTCCACATAACTTTTCTATTAATGTGCTTTGATACAGCATTTTGGGAACATCCAACTTCTTTTGCAATTACCTTTTGAGGCTTTCCCTCCTTATGGAGGGTGTCAATGATGGTTTTCTGCACAGCTGTCAGGTCATCAGTCTTTCCCATGATTGTGATTCCTACTGAACCAGACTGAGAGACCATTTAAAGGGTCAGGAACCCTTTGCAGGTGTTATGGCTTAATTAGCTGATTAGAGTGGGACACTTTGAGCCAAGAATATTGCACCTTTTCACAATATTCTCATTTTCTGAGATTGTGGATTTGGGGTTTTCATGAGCTGTAAGCCATAATCATCACAATTATGACAAATCACGGCTTGAAGTATCTTGCTTTGCATGTAATGAGTCTATCTCATATATTAGTTTCACCTTTTTAAGTTGCATTACTGAAATAAATGAACTTTTGCATGATATTCTAATTTTTTGAGTTTCACCTGTATTTGGTAATGAAAACACATATGAAATGTGTTTATAAAGCGCAATTTCGTCTTACTCTGCTTTATCACAGAGAGGGACTGAGGGAGGTGGCATCATGTGCCCATTTCGGCATTCATTTTGTTCACCAATTTTTCGAACCCTGTGAATAGCTATAGTTCTTTATTTCTCCCTAATATTTCAGGTTTATCTGGCTTGGAATCAGACTGGAGAAAATCAAGGGCAAGCAAATCCAGGAGATTCTGCCCCATTCTCTGTAGATGTGTATTACAGAGCATAGAATCTTGCTACAAGAGGCTTCAGTTCTACTTCCATTGCTAAATCTGGTTGCAGTGGAATATATAAAATTCATATCATGGGTGGACTTTTTAGGCTTCATGGGTGTTTTCCCAGCTCTTCTGAATGCCATTTCTCCTGGCAGGAAGAAAAGCAGTGTAAAAAAAGTGCCTTAAGACATGTTTTGCATATGCATTTGGACTTATATTCTTTCCATTGGTCAGAATATTAATTTATTCTGGCCATTTTACTGAATGAATGTTCAAGCTCTAAACGTGTGCATGGAGGGGTATTTAGAGGCAGAAAAACACCTTTTAAAAATGATTTTTTGACACCCAGTATGCATGAGGCCTTAACTTTGTACTCTTGTAGTGCTTTTTTAACCACCTTCCGCCCGTCCTATAGTACAATGACGGGCGCAAGGTGGTTCTCTCGTTCTGATAGGACGTCATATGACGTCCTACCATTCTCACTGCACATGCGCAGCTCAGGGGCGCGCGCGGCGATCGCCGTGCGCTGTGTCCCTCGGAAAGAGCCGAAGATGTCGGCTCGGTCATGTGATCAGCTGTGTCCAATCACAGCTGATCACATGTAAACACGGAAATGTCGGTTATCGGCATTTCTCTCCTCTCAAGCTGTCGCGCTGAAATTCAAGAAAAAAGGTGTATTTTTCAGGGTACTGCTGTTAAATGAACAGATGCCCCCTGTAAGTTGACAGGTCTTTACTTTTGAGTTCGGGTCCACTAGAAATCCATGTGGCCTTAAACTACAACTTGGATATCTTCTGCTTTTATGAATGTTATTTCTGTAAACACTGCAATTTATTGCCCATGTTGTATGTATGGTTTTATTTGTGTGTCTTAGTCCCTATATTTGCGTGTATGCGATTTTTTTTTTTTTTTTTTTTTTTTTTTTTTTTTTTTTTTTTTTTTTTACACGTTTATGTATTGTTTCTTTGTTTTTTATGTAGCTGAGCTTCTGCAAGTTCCTGATTTTAGGTTCATAATTAACCAACAACTCCAGAGAATATGCTTCATTGGGTTAGAGCAGTCTTTCTCAACCTTTTCAACTCAGAGGAGCCCTTGAAATAACATTCCAGGCTCGGGGAACCCCTGCTAAAAAGTACTATATTTATAACTCATAATACATTAGTGTGACGGTCAGTGGGAAGAATGCTCCTCACACTTGTGGTCACTGGGGAGAATCTCACCCTAACAGATAACTAAAATGATTAATGGTGTCAGTGGAAACTTATCTGAGATGCAGAAACTGCTAATTGCTCAAGGAACCCCTAGCAACCTCTGAAGGAACCCTGGTTGAGAAACCCTGGCTTAGAGTAACTTGTTGCATCAAATTTGCTCAAGGTTGCTTTACTCTGATTTAGTAGGCATTGCCGCCTTGCCCTATTCAGGGCAGAATAACATTACCTTTTGTAAGGGCCCTTTCACATGGGCAATCTGATCAGGTCCACCTGTCAGTTTTTCAGGTGGACCTGATCAGAAGGTTCATGCATTCCTATGGACCAGTGGGTGTAAATGGACTTGTGTTTGTTTTCACCCGCCTACCTTCAGGTCTGATGTGACTGCAAAAAAAAAAATGGAGGAATGCGTCCTCTTATGAATGTGCAGACCAGATCAGAAGCAGCCTTGTGTAAACAGACAGCAAAGTTTGTTTACTCTCGACAGCCCAATGAGCAGAGTGGGCTCTGTCCATGTCCGCTCTGCATAAACTGAGTGGACACAGACCTGTCATCTGCCCAGCTCTGCTCCAATCCTCAGGGGATCTCTGAGCAGATTCCCTGCTGATCAGAATGCAAACCACCCATGGAAAAGGGCCCTAAAGGTCCCAACCCAATACTCCCCTTGCCAGAGCTCTCGTCTCCTTTGCATCCAGTAACAATACCTGATAGCTTTAAGTATGGAGGAGCACACAATCTCCTCCCTTGTAAGCTAACCGCTTAATCGAGACCTGAGCGACCAGCTGGCTGACCATAGAGGTAATCAAAGACCAGAACGGCTCTGATCACCTCTGGTATAGGAAACTGGAAGTGATGGGCATCACTGGATGTAAACGGCTCCATGTTTAAATTTGGAAGATATCTGATCACACCGATCAGATGTGATCAGATGCTTTTAAGCCCAGAGGAGACATCTGGGGTCTAATAGACCCCAGATCTCTCCATAAAGAGTCCCTGTCGCTGCCTATTACTATTACAAGAGATATTTATATTCCCTGTGACAAAAATTAAAGTGATAACAAAATAAATATAAACTGACAGTGTAAAAATACATAAATAATTTTAAAGCACCCCTGTTCCCACATGCTAGCATGCAAGGACGCACACACGCATTGGACCAGTGTGCACACAAACAGCAATCATCCCATACATTTGCGAATGTCAGATCGAGGACAATAATTCTAGCACCAGACGTCCTGTATAGATCTACAGTGGTAACCTGTAAAGGCTTTTACAGCATTGCCTATGGATAGTAAAATTTAAGTCATTTGTCGCTGTTGCATGGGCATGCGCAGTTTTAAAGCATGCAATGTTTGGTATCTATTTTCTCAGTGTTCTCTCTAGGGCCTCTGCTTATAAAAATATAATATTTGGGGGTTCTAAGACCTTTTGTAGCAAAAAATACCAATTGTTACATGTGAACAAAAATGTCAAGAAGTCCTGGTCTTACAATGGTAGAAACTAAAAAAAAAATTTTTTTTTCAATAAGGTTATGCCTGGCAAAGTGCAGTAATCCCTGTTTCCCTTCAGTGTGTCATGCCTCTTAAGTGGCCTGTGCCTGCATCAGTGTGGTCTCTTCCTGTTGGGGTCATTTGCATGGGGATCAGTAATATTTGCTATCATTTTATGACCTATTTTTTTTATTCATCAGGTTTACAGCCATAGGTTAGCTGCCATCTACTGATTTCCTATTGCTTGTCTGCCAAGTTTCTCTCTAACTCTGGATTTTTTTCTTGCCCTTCAGAGATCCTTAATGGGGTAATCTCCAGTGTCAAAAAGGATGGCGAGTGGAAGGTATGTGATCAACCTGTCAAAACTCATTACTATCACTAATGTTCTGACAAAACCTCATTACTTTTACTTTTATTTTCTGTCTTGTTACTTTTACTTGTGTAAAACAAATTTTTAAAAATTAATGTGCTGTTATTTTGTTGTATGTTATAAGGAAAGCCATGTTGTCCCAACTGGAGATGTGTCACTGTTACAATTGCAGTTTATATTTCCCTACATAGGATTGGGTTAGCTTCTCCATATTATTTGAGCTTTATGTGAAGGCTAGAATAAATTGTACTAATTTTATCCATGTATCCAGTTTGATGTGAATTCCTTTATATACACACCAGTTAGAATGTCACACAGGTTAGTGGCACTAGTCAATTTTAAGGATGAGCAGAACTTGTTGTCACTGATCTGTGGCTACTGAATGATGGTTCCATATGGAAATTTGTGTCATTGAGAAAAATCTGTGTCTGCCCAGTCAAACACTGTTACAAGAAACAGTTCAGTCATGGCAAGTCTCCTACTTCTCTCAATAGGGGAAGGATTATCCATGTGACATAAATACAGGGGGCAAAATAGGTATTGAACACCTCACCATTTTTCTTAGTAAATACATTTGAAAAGGTGCTATTGACAATCTTCACCACATGTTGGTACCAATTTATGCAATCCACATATACAAAGGGACCAAAACAAATAAAATCAGAAATAAAGTTATGTGTAATAAAATGGAATGACACAGGGAAAATGTATTGAACACGCTAACTGAAATGTATTTAATACTTCGTACAAAATCCTTTGTTGGTAATGACAGCATCAAGACGCCTCCTGGATGGAGAATCTAGTCTCATGCATTGCTCAGGTGTGATTTTGGCCCATTCTTCCACACAGTCTTCAAATCTTGAAGGTGCTGTAGGCCACTTCTATGAACTTTGATCTTTAGTTTTTTCCATAGATTTTCTATTGGATTCAAGTCAGTTGATTGGCTGGGCCGTTCTACAGCTTTATTTTCTTTCTTTGAAACCATATGAGAGTTTCCTTGGCTTTGTGTTTGGGATCATTGTCTTGCTGAAATGTCCACCCTCGTTTCATCTTTATCATCCTGGTAGATGGCAGCATTTTCCATTTTCCATTCATCCTTCCTTCATGAGGTTTGTCAGTACCATATGCTAAAAACAGCCCCACACCATGATGTTCCCACCACCAAACGTCACTGTTGTGAAGGTATTTTTGGAGTGATGTGCAGCGCCATTTGACCTCCAAACATGGTGTGTATTACGGCATCCAAAGAGTTCAATTTTGGTCTCATCTGACCAGATTAACAGGTTCCCGCCCGGCCAATAGCCAGATGGCACCCGGCAAAACACCTCGTCCCTCCGGGTGGACGCCATATGGCGTCCTTTCAGGCATGCGCAGTTTGCCGGTCCGCAGAGCCACGCGATCTGTCACCGGCCATTTTTTTTTTTTTTCGCACTGTCACCAGTCAGTGTCCCTGATCACCGCCATGCCAGTTATATGATGACGCTGTACTGCACTGGTGACAGTATGTAAAAACAAAAATAGTGAAAATCTGTTTTTTTTATTAATTTCCGAAAAATTGACAAATTACAACTTCAAAAAACTCGCCATGCCTGTGTTGAATTACGTCGGACTGTCTACTTTGCAAAAAGGGGTCATTTGGGGGATATCTGTACTGTTCTGACATTCTTGGACCTCAAGAAATTAGATTGGCCGTCAGTACTTCAGGATTGATCAATTTTCAGATATATCCCATAGTTTGTTAACTCTATAACTTTCTTACAGACTAAAGAATAAATACTAACTTGGGTTATTTTCACCAAAGACATGTAGTAGAATACATTTTGGCCTAAATCTATGAAGAACAATTATTTATTTGCAAACTTTTATACCAGAAACAAAGAAAAACGTGGGGGTTTTTTTCAACATTTTTGGTCTTTTTTTGTTAATTTAGCAGAAAATAAAAACCCCAGCGGTGATTAAATACCACCAAAAGAAAGCTCTAGTTGTGTGAAGAAAATTATAACATTTTAGTTTGGGTACAATGTTGTATGACCGCGCAATTGTCATTCAAAGTGTGAAAGCGCTGAAACCTGAAAAATGGCCTGGGCAGGAAGGGGGTAAAAGTGCCTGGTATGGAAGTGGGTATATTCTCTCAGTATTTCACAGGCTTGTCTAAATGTTGTGCAGCAAACCTCAAATAATCTTCAACATGCTTTTTCTTCAGCAAAGGAATCTTGCATGGTGAGCGTGCATACAGGCCATGGCAGTTGAGTGTATTACTTTTTGTTTTATTTAATTCCAGGTCTTTCTGAAGCTGTCCACAAGTGGTCCTTGGCTCTTGTACAGTTCTTCTGATAATTGTTTTCACTCGTCAGAAATCTTGCACGGAGCACCTGGTCATGGCCGGTTTATGGTGAAATTATGTTTTTTCCACTTCTGGATTATGGCCCCAACAGTGCCCACTGGAACATTCAGAAGTTTAGAAATCCTTCTGTAACCAATGCTATCAGTATGTTTTGCAACAATAAGGTTGCAAAGGTCTTTGGAGAGCACTTTGATTTTACCCATCATGAGATGTTTCTTGTGTGACACCTTAGTAATGAGACACCTTTTTATAGGCCACCAGTTGAGACTGAACCAGCTGACATTAATTTGCACTGACAAGGGGCAGGATTTGCTTTCTAATTGCTGATAGATTTCAGCTGATGTCTTGGCTTTCCATGCCTTTTTTGCACCTCCCTTTCTTCATGTGTTCAATACTTTTCCCCTGTGTCGTTCCATTTTATTACACATAACTTAATTTCTGAACTTGCTTGTTTTGGTTTCTTTGTATATATAGATTGCATGGGTTGTTACCGACATGTGGTGAAAATTCCATGTCAATAGCACCTTTAGAAATATACAGTATTTACTGAGAAAAATGGTGACGTGTTCAATACTTATTTTAACCTTTTGTATTTTCCAGCTTATTGAATTAAGTTCTCCACTTTGGTAGCCTCAGATGGCTTTTACTTTGACATCAGGTCATTTATGGTTGTATAAGTCTGTGTATATTTACACATTAAACACAGAAATAAACCTGGCGCCTGTGGCCTCAGTGGCATGTTGCTTTGTGAGGTTGGTACACTCAGATCCATTTATAGGAACTAGACTGTACCATTAAAAAAAACAGCATCCCTTATGGATCTGACTTCCAAGCTTCCTTATATTAATCAGTGGGAACGGGACCTGAATCTTACCTTTTGACTTATCTGAGTGACAAGATATCGGTTATGCGTTCTCTAATTTCCATTAATACAAGCTAACTATAAAACACTTTTATGTTGGTACTTGGTGCTTACCCGGGTTGCAAAATGCACCTGGCCACATTGCCCACTGTTTTCTGGCGTTGCGGCCAGATGGGAACTATGTGTCAATCTGGTGGCAATGCCCTATAGTGACCAGATTTTGGATTCGGAGGTTTAAAGTGTTACTAAACCTGGACCCTGCATTCACTATATCTGGTCTCCCACAGTACACAGAGCATGGAAATGCAAATATTTTAGTAAATATAAACTGCTAAATACCTTTTCTCATCAGCAGTATATAGCAGGCTTGTGACTTCTTTCAGTGTCCAGCAGAGCACTGGTTAAAGCTTGTAGGAGGAGTTTTCTTTCTGCTCTAGGAGGATGTGAAACCAGTGACCCTCTGTGTGGACAGTACTGATTGGCACTTTCCCAAGAAAAAAAAAAACAAAAACATCTCTAACTCTCTAACAATACACCCCAAACTGATCATGTGACTACAGATTCAGTCTGTATCAGGTGGTCATTTTCAACAAGCAGAGAAAAAAAGGATCAAAACAGCCTTTTTACACAATGCAGAGGATTTACCCCTTAGGTTCCACAGTGAGTATAACAAGCATGCTTTGCTGCATATACAGACTGGTTTTACTGTTGTGGGTTTAGCATACACTTTTTAAATTTATTTCCTCAGTGACGGTAGTAAGTATCTGTTGATCCCTGAAGTCAACCCTCTTTCTAAAACTGCCTGATGTTTTTAGTGGCAAGAATTGTTATTGCTAAATATTGGAAGAAGTCGGTTCCTCTTAACTGTGTAAAGAATAAACTTAACTGGATTATGGTCAATGATAGACTCACCTGTACCCTTCATAGTAACACATCAAATTTTGATAGAACATGGGATCCATGAATCCTTTATATATCGGTCCCTTAGCCACTTTACACTTTTCTCCCCCCCACCCCCATTCCCCCCACTGGTAACCTTAATACGCTGCTGATATTAACTCTGCTGACTAGGATAGCTATGCTTCTGGTCCCTTGTGGATCGGGTTCAAGCTTTCTAGCTTCTGATGAAGATTAGCATTCTTACTTTAACCATTTCCCGCCCACAATGTACTGCAGCTACAGGCAAAACACTCTGGCTGTACTAACACAGGGGGGCGCTGTGTTCCCGAGAAGGTGCTCAGTACTCCCCCCTTGCGACTGCTGTGTCCAGCAGAATGAAGATCCCGGTGAACGGGACCTGTGATCATGTGATCGCTATGCGATCACATGATCACAGTGTAAGCAAAGCTGTTGTGAATCAATCTCATTCATAACAGTTCTGCTCCTCTTCCTAGTGAGCTGTAATTGGCCCACAGCTGTCACATGATACATGCAGGCCAATCACAGCACTCTGTACCATGTGACCAGCTCCAGCCAATCACAGATCGCTATCCTGAGCTGTCAAAACTTAACTCATTCATGACAGTTCAAGCTTTGCATTGCAGGAGAAATGATCTTTATTTCTTCTGCAAACCAAAGTGTAAAAAAACAAAGAAAAGAAAATTCCTGATCACCCCCCCCAGTAGTACAATGTTACTATGGTAACATTGTAGTATTCTGATAAGAGTATTAAACAAAAAAAAAAAACTAATTGCCAACCACTTACCCACATTTTGCGGGTGAGCAGCAGCTCTTGGCAAAGCGACGTAATCTTACGTCTCTTCCTATTATGGGGGTGTGAATGCATCTGCGCCCCACACTGCCCCCCCCCGTCCCCCCCGTCTGTCCAGGGAGAGAAGAGAGAACACGGCACCGGCACCAAGTAAAAGCACTACATTTCTACATTTTACACACGGTAGATTAGCACATTTAACCCTTTGACCACCCCTATTAACCCTTTGATCACCCCATCACCCGACAAGTGCCATTAGTACAGTGTCAGTATATAGGGTGATAGGTAGTGGGGAAGTGATATGAGGAAATATGCCCTTTGAAAGCATGTAGGTGGTCATTGGATTTTGGGGGCTTGTATGTAGCTAGACTGCCAAAAAGTCTCTCACATGTGGTATCCCCATACTCGGGAGACGTAGGAGAATGTGGTTTGGGGTGTTATTTCACATATACCCATGGCATGCATGAGCAATATATCATTAAAGTGACAACTTTTTTTTTTTGGAAAAATGCATTTACACTTAGCGAACACATACAGATGAAGAAAAATTTGACATTTTTTGGGACAAAATTTGTCCCTTTCCTGGACTTTTATCTTCCCAAAGAAAAATATCCCACTCTTCACAATCACGCCTTATTCATATCATCAGTTTTCATCAGCGCCTGTATTTCTGAGCAAATATTTTCAAGGATGAAGTTCACAAAGGGCAAACTTAGAGCCAGAATATCTGATGAGCACCTTGAGAATTTAATTTATCAAAAACTGTGCCAAATATCACACTAGTGTTATGTTGTCCTCTTTTACTTTCAAAATAAATATGAAACAAAATGAAGTTTTATCACTCAGGTGCATTATCTATATCGGTGATTGTTAACTTGTGATCTGCACGACATTTTCTGCTCATCAGCTATCCTTTTCGTTATTGTATTTTATGTGTGGCCCAAGACAACTCCTCTTATGTGGCCCAGGAAAGTCAGAAGCTTGTACACCCTACTCTAAAATGTACATCACTTGTACACTGTTTTCATTGGACCGGCAGGAAAATTAACACAAAAAAAAAACAGCCAGGTGTAGCAAACCTGCTCATCAGAGTCGGAGCGGAGTTCTCCTTCAACCTTTTTTTTTTGCAACAAACTAGCTCATCAGAGCTGGAAGCGGAGTTCTCCTTTTCCTTGCTGTATTTGAGGTATTCCTCGAATCATTCCTCACATCCCCCCTGCATTCCTGTGAGGCAAACGTCATCTCCTGACAGATGGTGTGGGACAACCAGGTTAAGACATAAGATTGGAGCCAAGCTGTCTGCTGAAGTGTAACTTTTGTCACCCAAAACTATGTAAGACCACACATTATCAAACTGACCAGAGTAATTGCACATTCCTCAGGTCAGCTGTATGTTTCATGTCATGGATTATGAAGCCTTAGTTTTAACTGAGTTTCCCAATGACCACTCCCAAAACATGTAGTCAGAGCCCCCCCCCCTCCCCTTTGAGAGGGACTTTTAAAAAAGAGGCTGACCAGCCTAGAGAGAGAGTTTTAACAGAAGTCTCCGAGTTAACATCGTAACCAAAGGAGACTAAACGAGTCACCCTGCTCTGCCACTGGAGTCTGCAAAACCAGGCAAGGCAAGTAACCTTAACCCTGTAATTTCCTCGCTATTCTCTGTTTGCTGTGTCTTTGTATACATATATATATATATATATATATTTTTGTGATATCTCTTTGTAAATATTTGTGTACCTGTTTGACGCTTTTAGTAATAAATCTTTCTTTCTGAAAGTGTTAAACTGTTTTTTAAGCGCTTACCTGCAATTCACGAATTCTTGCCTTTTGAAGAGACGCTACTATTTGTTACATCTCTGTAACAAATACGCGCGTCACACCGCGGTTTTAGATCAGCCGGTCCTTCGGTCAAGAGTTTGGTGAGAAGGTCTGGGGTCTGACGCCGTGGGTGTGACATATTACTGTTAGTTGCGGTCGTGTGATTGTCGCCTGTTGGTGGCGGCGATCGTGGATCCGTGACACCAGGCATTAAATTCCATAGTATTTTTGGGTAACACAAATTTTTTGCAGTACTGAACCCCTGTTTTATACTAATCCTTTTCTGCTCAAACAGCAGATGCAGTGCTTTAGTGTGGACAGCAATAAGAAGTGCCTTATCTTGTCATTATGTCTTCCTTCCTCAAGGTCCTGCTGGTCGATCACACCAGTATGCGCATACTGTCTTCGTGCTGTAAGATGTCTGATATACTGGATGAAGGCATAACTAGTAAGTTGGGGTGCAGTTGTCATAGGAAATAAAGTACAAAGATTCTGATATTGTAAGATGTGTCTTAATTTGTGACTTGTCAGCTAGATGTTTACATCAAGGTATTAAATACAACACAAATTTGGCCTGCTCTGGATACATTTGTAACCACAGGGTCCCCTCTAAACTTCTAGTAGTATGTTTGAGCTAATCTTGGCACCTTACAAAGTGGAAAAAAATATGCTGCTAGATCCCCTCGTCTTAAATAGCTTCTGGCTGTTGGCTTATTGGTAGACAGGCTCCTCTCATTATTTAATAGAAATATATTATAGAAATATATTATATTATAGAATTATATAATAGTGCTCAGAAAAGGCAGCTGTTCATTTGAACACTGAGCACTGCATTGTTGGAGGTCATGGGGACTGTGCATGCATGCCACATACCCAAAAGTAATAGAGGGTGTTTTTTTTTTGTTTTTTTTTCTGGGATTCAATACTAGTTTGTGGAGGTACTGAGTAGAAATTTTAGTTTACTGATTAGAATTTTCAGACAGGTTAATTTAACTACCTAAAATTCTATTTGAAACAGTTACCACAAAAAAAAAAAAAAAAATCATACTCCCTACATAATGCTGATACACTGTATTTCACTCTAAAGGAGTGTTGGTTACAAATAGGTTAGGGTAAATTTGCATAGCCGTTAGGGGCTTCTTGAGTATACAGGTCACCAGGTAACAAATAAAATTTTAACTGGTTCTAAGGGTTCAGTTTTATTTTTTCTTTAAATTAATAAACACATCATACTTGCTCTGTGTAATGGTTTTGCTCAGAGTAGCCCCAATCCTCTTTTCGGGTCCCACCCTGGCACTTCTGGTCTCTCCCCCTTTCCGAGTGCCCCCAGAACAAGCTGCTTGCTCTGGGGGCACTCATGCACGCTTGCTCCCAAGCAGGCTCTGTGTATCTATGGGACACACAGAGCGTGGCTTAGTCCTGCCCCATGCTCCCTCTTTACTGGCTGTGATTGACAGTACTGGGAGCCAATGGCTCCCACTGCAGTGTCTCCGCCAGTGAGGAGAGAGGAACCTAGGAAAGCCGCCACTCTTGTGCACATTGAGATTGGGTTCAGGTACGTATTTAGGGGGGCTGAGGGGGAAGCTGCATACTGAAGGGTTTATTTTACTTTTGTGCATTGATTGCTTTATGATGAACCATATTCAGCCTTTAGAACCACTTTAACAATTGTATTGAAGGAAAAACAAAATGCAAGACAAAGACGTTTCAGATATACAAGGCCAATGGGGCCAATAATGAGCTTTTAATAGTAGATAAATAGATGGTAAACCGTAAATTGATAAGTTTAAAAATGTCTAAACTGTTTATAGCAGGGATGGCTGTTTGATATACAGTGTTTTGGTCTCAGGTGTGTCCCCTGACCTTGATAAAGGGCCATACATAATAATTAATTAATTAAATGCTACAGAAAGCTGTAAGAGAGAGAAAAGATGCCTCAGGAAATGGTCAGAGACTGTGGTGCAAGAGATGGTCAGACACTTCAATCTTTTTTTGAAGACTGGGGACAAGCTTCAAGATACTGTCATACAGTAGAGGAACGTTCCTTTAGACTGCTAGAGGTTTCTGCAACTGCAACCCCTGTAAAAATCAACACTTACACATTTGTGCACAGCACAAAATTACCTGTTCTGTATTTATTTCTGTTATCAAGATCATTTATCAGATTATAAAAGATCGGAGAAAAAAACATATGAAAAAAAAATGAAATGGAAAGCCTTATCAGATTAGTGAGCACACAATGCCTGCATTTACCTTGTCTATGGAGCCCCTGATACCAAATGCACAAGGCTTGAAATCCCTCATTTTGTCCTAACATGACAACCGCATCTTTTTGGGAAAATAGAAGCAGCAATAAAATTAATGTGTACGTCAGGGCAAAAAAAAAAATGCGACTACATATTTTGCAATAAATGCACATCTAAAATGAAAAAAAACAAGCAAGCGCTTCTTAAATAGGAGTAAAATCAGCTGGCATAAGGAAAAAACCTCTAAATCCTTAAAACATATCAATAAAAAATGCAGCGCTTTTAAAACACATAAAACAACAATATATCTGACATAAATATAATGCAAAGTGACAATTAATATACCAAAGCGCTGAAGATGAGCGCAATAAAGTGACAATGGTGCGTCGCCTAGACTTACCATTGTCACTTAAGCGACACTTTATTGCACTCATCTTCAGCGCTTTGGTATATTAATTGTCACTTTGCATTATATTTATGTCAGATATATTGTTGTTTTAAAGCGCTGCATTTTTGATTTAATACATGCACAGCTACCCATGTTTTATCTTTTTAAAGATTTTGCAAGGGCAGAAAAATACCTGTTGATCTGCACACAACTTTAAAGTCTTGTTGCATGCTGACAACACAAAGCTTTTTTGTGGACTGAGGGGTGTCAACCTTGCCCATTTGTCTTTCTCTAAACTACTCAAACCCTCCCATTGTCATCATCTTTACAACACAGACAGTTATCATTCAGTAGTAAAAGATAATTAGGAGTTCTAATTGGGTTAATTGAGATAACACAGAAAGTGTGCAGAGGACAGCTTTAAAATTATGACACAAATAACAGGTATTTTTCTGTACATATCAAATAGATATACCAAAATCTCTCAATAATACTACAGTCGTCTCTCTCTCTCTCTCTCTCTCTCTCTCTCTCTCTCTCTCTCTCTCTCTCTCTGTCTCACTCTCACAGTGGAGGCTCAAGGCTAATAGTTTCTGAAATGAATAGCCCTGAGAATTCACTGAGGGAGATTGTAGTAATATTGAGAGATCTAATTCGCACAGTGTGAGGTATGCTATTAGCAGCCCTCTTACTAAGGAAGTGTGGCGGTAAAGCATTTTGTAATTTCGTGCTCCAGATATACCAAAATGCTTTCAATTATATTTTAAACAGACCAAAGGATATAAAATTTGAAAGAGAAGTGCATTGCTGGGGTTTACATACACTTGAATTTATTAGACTGGGAGAGAATAGTGTCACGTGTATCCATTTTTCTTTCCTGTACACAGTTGTTGAAGATGTTAATAAGAGAAGAGAGCCCATTCCGAGCCTGGAAGCCATTTATCTCATCACTCCCAGTGAGAAGGTAATTCATTTCTAGAATGTATTCATATGTTTCTTTTATTTTTTTGTTATTTAAACCTACTTTAAAGCTAAGTTAACCTTTAATTAAAAAGCAATAAATGCACATATTTTTGCAGGTAAAAAAAATGTGCATTTGTTATTTTTTAAAATCGGAGTCTGCAAAGTATTGCACTTGCCATCTACTACTTAAAATGCTAGTTAAATATTGGTAATGATTTTTTGAGGGCTCCTTTAGCTAAAGCTCATCTGCTCTTCAAGTTGTATGCAGCTTTCAGATGCTTCTGTTCATATCTTAGAACGTTTTTCTACTTAAAAGCGGACCTTAACCCTTATATTACAAATAGCCATAATAAACAGACAAAGGAGTGCTAATAGGTTTCAGTACTTAGTTCTGAAAAGACCTGTTATTAACAGAAGTTATCTGGACACGGGAGATGACACAGATATGGATCGTTTTACTCAATCTCTTGTGTGCATGCTGATTATTTATTAAGAAGGTACAACACCCATTCAAAAAAATGTAGTTTACCCAGTCTGACCACTAAATAACCTCAAATTCTCCCTGTCTGACCAACCATAACAAGTGAAATGCACATGGCTGTTTCTGGACAGCGGTTTAAAAAGTGTGATGGAAAGTTAATTATTGATCTTTGGGTAGACGCACACAAACGTATCAATATACACTTGCTGGACACTTTATTAGGTACACCTGTTCAATTGCTTGGTAACACAAATTGCTAATTGGCCAATCACATGGCAGCAACTCAATGTATTTAGGCATGTAGACATGGTGAAAACGGGTTGCTAAAGTTCAAACCGAGCATCAGAATGGGGATGAAAAATGAATTTAAGTGACTTCGAATGTGGCATGGTTGTTTGGTGCCAGACGGGCTGGTCTGAGTATTTCAAAAACTGCTGATCTACTGGGATTTTCATACACAACCATCTCTAGGGTTTACAGAGAATGGTCCAAAAAAGAGAAAATATCCAGTCAGCGGCAGTTGTGTGGACGAAAATTCCTTGTTGATGTCAGAAGAGAATGGGCAGACTGGTTGCTTCGACATTCAGATGGTAGGGTCAGAATTCGTGTAAACAACATGAAAGCATGGATCCATCCTTGTATCAACGGCTTAGGCTGGTGGTGGTGTAATGGTGTGCGGGATATTTTCTTGGCACTTGCAAGGTGTACCTAATAAAGTGGCCGGTGAGTGTACATCAGGTGTATTTTTGTCCTCCTTCCACTGTGCTGCTTCTTCCTTCTTCTTTTTTTTTTTTTTTTTTTAATTCAAAATTTAAGGTTTCCATAGACTTCACAAATTGAAAGATGGCCTGATCTCTATTGTGTGGATGGGGGAATTTATTTATTTATTTTTTTACTTCAACAAATGATAGTGAAGAAAGCTGCTGTTTGGCTGGTTCAAGTGTACTTCTGCATAAATTGTAACTTAACACAAGTTTGCTGGAATGTATGGAATGTATAATTAATGGGTGCTAGAATAACATGACTACATAAGGGTGAATCTGAAGCAGCCTTTCCACGGCAAGTACAAATTATGGGGAAAATTTTGTAGAAATCCACTTATAACCATTCATAAATGTTGTATTTAGGACTGGTTCCTAAATGTGTATGTCAGGGCAAAAAAAAGTGACTTCATTTTTTGCAATACATGTACATCTACCCATGTTTTCTCTTTTTAAAGATTTTGCAAGGGCTGAAAAATATCTGTTGACCTGCCTGATGTGCACTCAACTTCAAAGTCACTTAGGAGACAAGGCATTTTAACGTGTGCATGCAGTGGGACTGTACTGGAATAGCCGCCCAACGCAGTCCCAGTATATCTGGTGGGAACCAGCCCTGAATGTGCATATGTAGAAAAAATAACAGTATTAATATGTAACATGAAAAACAATTTGGAAGGTGTTTTTTCTTTTAACTTATTGTTTATCCTTCCTGCCTTGCTTAAAGAGTACCTTCAACCGCCCCATGCTTACAGTGTATTATTTTTTTTTTAATCCTTGCTTACCTGATGCTGGTTTATCCTTAATTCAGATGCTTGACCACCCAGTGGATCCAGCACTGTTCTGCTGAGATCCACTTTTCTGCTGCCACCTCGCTGCCATTTTCTTCAGTGTCATCATCAGGAGGTGGCTCTCTAATCTGGGTTCAGACATCTGCCTCCTGATGACATGCTGCTAGGCCTTCCTCCTTTTTTTGATTGGAAGATTACTCCTCCTGGGATTTGTGCCATGCAGTTCCTAGAAGGCATCGGGAGCATTGCATGTCATTCTGGGGATGAGAGAGCAGGTCAAAGCTGGGGGAGGGGGTAAGCCAAGAAAATAAAGGGATATTGATGTGACAAAGTGTTGCAGAGGTGGGCAGTTTATTTTCAGGGTGAAGATCTGCTTTAAATCCAGACAAGGAGCAATGGCAGAAGTCAATATCACACAGTAATTATTCAGATGTTTGCGCTTGGACACCAGACTGACGACAGATATGTCTTCTGTATAGACACAGTGGGGTTGATTTACTAAAACTGGGAAGTGCAAAATCTGGTGCAGGTGTGCATGGTGGCCAATGAGCTTCTAACTTCAGCTTGTTCATTTAAACTTTGACAATAAAACCTGGAAGCTGATTGGTTTCTATGCTGAACTGCACCAGATTTTGCACACTCCAGTTTTAGTAAATCAACCCCACAGTGTTTTGTATTGAATGATCTAGGTAATGGATGTTTTGATTCTGAGATGGTATGAAGTAGTAAATCTTTTGAAACCTATCAGCATTCCTCTAAGGTAGCACCACTGCACCGTGGATAAAGGTTGTGTTTTCATGTATTGACCTAGACCAGTTTGACTAGTTTCCCTCATTGCTCTCAGTCTGGCTAGAATAACAGAAACATCACTCCGTAATTCTGGCCCTGAAAAATGCCAACCCCCTTTTCTACTACCTCTGCTTTATCACAAAAAATTACTAGTGCAGATATTTCTAGGGGAAAATACCAGGATGTAGACTAAAAACCTGCCATGCAACATTAAAACACATTGCATTGATACTAGTTTGAGAAGCAGCTGACATGGCCTGGATGTCTAATCTCCCAGCAGGAAAAAAAAATAGAAAATTAGGTTTCATCTAGGACACAGCAAATCGCTATCTGGATCCTTCCACTCTGACTGAAACTGGAGCAGGCTTTATAAACTCTGTCCTCTGAAAATGCATGAAAGAGTTGTTACAATAGGCTGTGTGTGACCATTTAGAGCAGAGGAAAAGTCGATGGGGAGAAATTCGCAGACAAACCAGGATGCAAAAAAATGTTTTTCACTGTCGTGACCCAAAGTGTCAATGTACCATATTCTGGGTTTCCAATAGTCTGTTCACAATTATGGTGGAACACAATGAACTTCTTAATAAAACCTTTAGGTTTAATATAAACGTACATTTGGCAACGTCAAAAATGTATTGGTTCTGAGCTCACAATTTCTATACTTTCTGCTTCTTAGTTATACAAACACACATTGTTTAATTTACATTATCCCTTCTATTTCTGTATGTGGATGATGGCACTGTAATTATTTTAATAAATAAAATCAAAGTACCTTTTTTTTTCATATTCAATATACAGCTGTCGCATGACCCAGCTCTTTCCCAGCCTGTCTGCAGGGAAACAGTAGCAGGGGGAGATTCTAGTATTCTGTAAATCACAGGCTGTATCACTCCCCCTCCAGTCTGTGTGTTAGAATAACAGAGAGGTGAAGCCTCCATCAATCAAGATGTAATATCCCACCCCCATTTTGTTTAGCTGGTTAGTGGGTATGGAGAAGGGAGAGAGTGAGTGGGCTGTCATTCTCCACTGTGTACTGTATATATACCCACATGTGTGACTCTACAGTCAGATAAGCTGCTCAGATGTGATATGGAGAAAGTGCTCAGTGTAGAAATGCACTGAAAACTGAGCATGTGCATTGGCTGCCTTCAGCTGCTCTGCAAAATCCCCAACTGCATCGGAGGCATTGACAGGAAGGGGAGACAGAGAACAGCAGAATCAACCAGGTTTTTTGCAGTGTATAGAAAATGAATCCCATAGTGACTGAGTATGAACAACATGTAATGTAGCATTTACTTATGGTTTTAATGATGTGGGTTTAGTGACATTTTAATGTTTCTTTTTGCACATATTAGCAGGTGGATGAAGGAAGAAATGTATGGCTGTGTCACAAAACCAGTTTCGCATAAGTCTGAAGACTCTATAAGTTAAATTTAAAAAATTAAGCCATGTGCTGGTAATAGGTCCTCTTTGGTCATATTTACTGTGTTAGATCAGCTAAAAATACACATCAAGAATGATTTCACTATGTATCTCTGGGCAACTGAAGTGGGCAACAATTAGCAGTAACAGCAGTGTGCCTTTGTCTGGGGCAACAGGTCCTAGAGCTAGAGATTCAGATCTTAAAGCGGAGCTCCACCCAAAAGGGGAAGTTCCGCTTTAGGGACTGCTCCCCTGCTCCCCATTAAGGATTGGCACGTTTGTGGGACAGGGGGGAGCGGGTACCCGAATTTGACAGGTACCCGCTCCCATTTCCTGTCCGATCGCCTAGG